TCTTCAAACGTTTGTGGATCTCTTAGTTCCACCTTTCATTAGATCCTATGTTTTAAAGTCTATAGAAATCAATCCATTATTTTTGCCTATGAAATATTACAAATTTAGAGACATATGGACTTGAATTATAAGACATAATCTTGCAGTGACCTACATTGTGTAAGATTTGTCAATTGATCTTATACTATCTTTTCCACATTGATGGACTGAAATTAATTTCTAAACTTGGTCTCAAACTCCTCTCAATTATAAAATCCACCTTGAACTTAATAGCTTTGAACTCGATGTCGCTACCAAATGACTATCATATCTTTTAAATAGCTAGTTGCATATATAATTCCTTTAGTGGTATTTGCCCCAAATATTTAGAGGTATTGTTGCATGTTGAAGAGCCAATGACATACATCTTCTTATTTTGAAGTCCTAGAGTATGTACTACGCTTATTCAATTCTAGCCTAGGAGATGTCAACTTTCTTGTCCTAGAGGCTTCTGTTTGCCCTTGCAAAGTAGCTATTTGGCCTAAGAGGTATTGTATTTGAGCCTCCATTTGGGATTGCTTTGCCATATCTTCCATGCTATAATTTTCTTACTAGACTCCACTATTATAATGCCTTCTCACCTTTCGATTGACTTTTTAGGAATAGCTTATGATAGCTTTAATATAGCATCTATTATGACCACAACAATTGACCTCAAATTAGATGATGGCATTTGATACACTATTAAAGAATAGTCTAATATTTACTATAATATCAATGAAACAGGATCATTCTATCTTGAGAGTCTAAGACCCTTCTAATCCACAACCACATAAAATTTCATCTCAAAGTAAGATAAAATGGACCAGAACAATATTAAATAGAACTATATAGAATAAGATATAAAAGATAAAATAATACAAACAAAAATAGAACAAAAAAAATTGAATAGGAAGATACAAAATCAAGCTTTATTAAGAAAGAAGGTCCAAAGTCATATATAACCAACTATTCAGAAGGCACTGGCTAATCCTATTTATATTTTGTTTTAACACCCTAGATTTTTTAGAATATTTTTAGATGATGGATCCAACTTAGATAATCGCTTTAAACTGCTTTTAGAAGATTTTATAGTAGATTCTACCTAAATAACCACCTTAAGTTCTTTCTAAAATGTTCGACAATAGATCCCATATGTTCCACTAACCTAGCTATAATTCTAAAAACTTCTATGACTTCTCAAGCATGGTTCCAACTATCTATCTTTATATATAAATAATACAAATATCTTATTTATATCCTATTACAGTGAACCTACCTTGATTTGTTGGTGCTTAAATTTTGATGTTTTTGATAGCCTTTGATCTGATGGTCTAACTCTTGACAATAAAAACACAATTCCTTTTGAGCCAATACTTGTCGTCTTTGTGGTGTCAATGATCCTTATAAGGCATCAATCTCTATTAACATTGATTATTGTGCTATAATATTAGATAGTAATATAGGACTTTGTATTATAATTCTTGCTCTATAATTTTTGAAATCGATAATATTAACCCTCTCTGCAATCCTAATTGCCTCTTCAAATATTCATAGATCTCTTAATTCCACTTGTCATTGGACTCCATATTTCAAAGCCTTATAGAAGTTAATCTATCATCTTTGCCTTTGAAACATTGTCAATTTAAAGACATAGGGACTTGAATCGAGAGACATAATCTTGCACCAACTTGGATTGTATAAAATTTGCTAACTAATTGCATACTATCTTCTCTATATTGTTAGATTAAAATTGATTTCTAAATTTGGTCTCAAACTCCTCTTAATTACAAAACCCATCTTAAGCTCCATAACTTTGAATTTGATGTTGCTACCAAATGGTTGTTGCATCTTTCAGAAAGTTGGTTGCATAAATAATTCTTTTGATGGTATTTGCCACAGATAGTTGGAAGTATTGTTGCATACTGAAGAGCCATTGGCATACATCTTCTTACTTTTAAGTCCTAAAATATGTACAAGACTTACTCAATTTCAATCTAACAGATGTCAAAATCCTACTCTTAGAATCTTCTATTTGTCCTTACAAAGTACCTATTTGGCCTAACAGATGTCGTATTTGAACCTCCATCTAGGATTGCTCTATCATATCTTCCATATTGCAATATCCTTGCTAGATTCTAATATTGTAATGGCTTCTATCTTTCTAGTTAATTTCTTAAGAGTAGCTCATGGTACCTTCAACATAACACCTTTTATGACTACAACAACTGATCTCAAACTAGACAATGGCTATCGACACACTATTAAAAAATAGTCTAATACTTGCTCTAATACTAATAAAATATGATCAAACTATTTCAAAAAAATCTAAGATCCTTCTAATCCACAACAACATAAATCCTTTCACAACGTAGGATAGAGCAGAGTACAACAAAAGAAAATAAAACAAAACTGAACAAAAAGATGTAAAACCAAACTTTACTAAGAAAAAGGGTCTAAAGCTATACCTAACTAGATATCCAAAAGGCCTTGGCTAGTCCTACTTATACTTTGTTTAAACATCTTAGAACTTTCGTGAATTTTCTTAATGGTGGACTTTAACTAAAAAATATAATATAATATTTAATATTAAAATTTTATTTTTTAAAATTTTAATTATTAATTTTTTTTTCTTAAGTAAATATTTTTTTCTTATATTTTTAGAATCAATTATTTATTTAAGTTTGTTATAAAAATCCAAGCTATAGTATTGTTGTTTTAAAATTTTTAACAAAATCAAACAATGTCTAAATACTCATTATATCTTTATATGTAAAGAAATATGATTCTTAAATGTTTTTGAAATGCATGGCAAATTATTATCCATCACTCAATTATAAGTCCACTTATCTAATTAACAATTAGTTATATTAAATATAAGCAAGAATATTGGATAAATTTTGAACTCTAATAGATTGAAGGAAATTACAATAATTAAGTTTTTAGAGACAAATGTCGTAATATTGGAAGCCTAAAAAGTATTCTTTTAATATTTCTAATTTATTTTACATGGAATAATAGGCACAAGGTCTAGAAGAAGTGTCAATAAGGTCCTATAGTTGGTTGCATGTATTTCAATAGTCTCTTAACAAGTAAATGATACTTCCTTCAAATACTTTTCATAATGGTCAAGGAAGAAATATTATATGATGAATTTTAAAGAATTGATAGGCTTTTCCATAAATTATTTAAGAGCATATGTTTAGGTCTTAGTCTATATAATATAAATGATGAATTAGAAGAATGTCTAATTGAAGTTGTAAAAATGCAAATATAGATACAATTTTATTATTTATTTATTTATTTTTATAATTTTGATGCATGGAATATCAATGGATCTTTGCAACCTTTGCAACCTTTGTATAGGAAGCCTTTTAAATGATTGCAAGCATAAGCTATATTAACTTAGTATTAAGTACTGTACTAAAGAATAAATCAAAAATCTTATATTATCACTTTTTAAAGAAAAATCAAGAAGATTTGATAAAATGCAAGCTAATTTCAATCTTCTTTTTTTTGAGTTTTTTTTAAATATATGCAAACCAGTAAGTTTATTAATAAACAAATTGATAACAATATAATACAATTGCCTGAAGACACTAAATTAGAGGTCCAATTCTCAACCAATAATCAATATAATATATATCAATATATAATAGTTGAAGTTTTGCTAAAGCAGATTTTAAGATATATGTTTTTAATGGCCTACAAAGAACTCAAAAAATCTTCTTAGAGAATCTTTTTTTTGAAAATTATACTTACAAATGATGAAATTGTCCTTAAAATTATATCTTTGAAAATTTTTGATTTCTTATTCAAAAAATATAGGATGATATTTTTATATCAATTAAATATTTTAGGCTTAATTGATAAGATATACCTTAAAATATATAATAGTTTAGGAGATAAGGAATTTTTTTGCAAACATGTTATTTTAGCAACTTCCATTGATAAAGATGTTATAATATATAAAGTAATATTACAAGCTATTTTACAATAGATTTGAGATTTTTTGGATATATACAAGATTAACAATCATGAAGACATGGAAATGGTTCCAACAAACTATATAAACACTTTAGAAATAAGTAATTGACTATTGCATAAGCTCATGTTAAAACTTGACACACTTGTGATGCTTTTGCTTAAAAAGTGTCTCAATCAATGGCCTTGTAATAAAACTTAGCTTATTGTCAAATTTTTCACTAATCAAGTTATTGAAATTTAAGTGTTGATGGAAAAAAAGTCTAATTAGGTTGCTTTCATTTCTAAAATTATATTAACTACAAAAGTTAGGTATTTTTGTTGTCTAAAGTGAAAATAGTTCTTATCACAAGTGGCTTATGTAATGACAATATATCTTTTTTTAATGATAGATAATAAAACATGCTGGGATAAATTTAATAAAATATATTCTACTTCAAGTTTTATATTACATTCTCTTGAGCAACAACATTGAAAAAAATATAAAATTTTTATTGGACAGTAGCTCAAAAGGAGAGATTGGATTAATGTGCAATATTATTTACAATAAAGCATTTTAACAACAAGAATGTTTAAATGACATATGTTGCCTTATATTATGCCAATTTTTTTTTTTGTACCCAATAGCATGGATTTTTTGCTAGTTTATAATATAATAGAATTATTGCCTTATTTTGTATTAAAATATTTTTTATCATATATATATTTTGCAATTTTAACATATATGTCGTCTTTATACATATGTTGCCTTATTTTGTATCAAAATACTTTATGTGCCCAACAACACAGGTTTCCACTAGTATAGCATAGTATAATATAGGAATTATAGAATATATATATATATATATATAAAATCAGTATATCTCAAGGAGGTAGGGCTAGTAGGCCAAGATCCGCCCGTCCCGAGTATCATCGGTAATGAACCCACAGGCGGTAGACATCAGGGCATGGCGGGTATCAGTATGGGAGGAGAGTGCTGGCAAGCATAGAGACTCTCGCTCCAGGCAAGGCCCAAAATGCGAAGCTGAGTTCGCGAGGCGAAGCTTGTGATCTGGGATCGCCGAATACCTTTGCAGCAGTCGGAGATACCATCACACTTGGCATTTGCTTCACCAGCATGACCCTCAAGCCCTCTTTAGATTTCTATTAGAAGCGCTTGTAATACGTGTAAGGAACCCACGATAGCATTCCGTTTGTGGGTTTTCAGGTGGAGGAGGAACAGAGCACGGCAACACTGGATTTGGGTTCTTGGTTGAAGCGGGCGATATGATTTTGCTGGAAGGGCCCTCGCGGGTCCTGCTTCAAATCCTTCAAAATCGTCTTCGCAAGTGAGTGGCATTTTCTGAAGAATTTTCTGATTGTTTTTGAAATGTTTGGGGTTTCTTGCTCACAGTTTTCGGTGAGGATGTTGGGGCATGGGTGGGTTCAACGATGGAGTTTTACGTGTGATGTAGGTTGTAGGATCTTTTATCTCCGTGGTTCCTCTGTTTGTGACACTCTTGAGATTTTTCCAAGAGGTTTTCTTGCTTGCTGTAAGAATGTTTCGAGATCGGATCATCAATGTTACAAAATTCGTCACATGCAATCAAAGCCAAGTCTGTCGTCATAAGTTCTGTTTTGATTTTTGTCATCCTACATTTCTGGTCATTTCATTTCATCTTTATTTCTGCTTGGGCTCTTGGTTGTTGATTATAGGTTGAGGTGGATTGCACTTTCATTTAGATCCCTGGACAATATTAATAGAAGCCTTTTGTCACAGATTGAAGACATTTTGATCCTTGATTCGTGTAATGTTCTTAACTATTACAACGATCGCTTATAATAATTTAAGGCAATTGCCAGGATTGGGTCCGTGGACTATGTTATCTGGTTCTCGTCACAGTCACATTGTATCTAGACTAAGCTGGATAAATGTCGACTGCACCATCCTTGGTCAATTTTGCAGTAGCAGAAAGCGAGAAGAGTGAAGTATTTGAGTTGTTTTCTTTTTCTTTTCTTTTTTGCTGAACTTTCTAGCAGGCAGTCACAACAATTCGATGAAATATATTCTGTACACCTTACTTCATTAACCAATCGAAAAGTCTGGGCGGTTTGGTAACTGATACTGGAATCCGTAAAGTTCTAGTTTTTCTGTTGTGTAAAATCTGGTATATAGAAAGGAGAAAAAAAACGTTCATGAAGAAAATGTAAGAGTTGCATTAGAGAGGAGTTGAAACGTTTGAATAACTTGAAGGATGTGTAGATGATTTGGGCTCTGAACAATTGTCTTGATGTGCGTTACTTACCAAAGATGCATATCTTGTCACAAATTAATTCCACTTACTTTGTGAATTGTTGTCTATAGTATGGAGAAGCCAGCAGAGGTGGACTTTCATCTCACGGAGTTCGATGACATTCGATTTCATGTTCAGGTCGAAAGCTTTGAAGTCTTTAGATTTGAGAATCTGAATTCTAAATTTCCTGCTGCAGTTTAGAGTTTGAGGAGCCTCATTTTGCCCCCGGTTGTGTTTGTCGAGAATTATGATGTGCTGTTGTTTTTGACTCTCTTATTTTATTTATTTACAATTAGGGGCTATCGTATGCAGGCTTCGGCAAAGGATCCTCAACACATACTCCTCTCGGTAGCACTACCTCCTCCTCCACCGGAAACTGTTTTCTATGGAGGCCTTCCTTTTGGTGCAGTGGAGGCCGTGAAGACAGCATACGGTGCTTTTGTACAAGTGATTGAACCTCCAGAGTCGGGATTTCATCTCACAATTCAAATAGACTTATCAAAATTGGCATTAGCTGAAGGTGAAAATGGTTTCCTTATTGTCCAATCAGTATTTTTCTAGTTTCATTTTGGGGAGTATCCGATATTGTTCTAACGGTTGACTTGTGAAAATCGAGCAGCGGAAAGAGCATCGCAGTTGACGAAGATAGCTTCTTTGCGTACTGTTGTGCTCGGGGCACCACTTCGCAACATCCTCAAGCATTTAGGCAATAGGTCGGTAGCTCCAGATGCGGATAATCTAGTTGCTTTAATGCATCGACCAAAGCAGTCTTACTTTTTGATTCCACAAGTAAGTGCGTGTTGGTTGTATGTGATGCACCTGATTCAGTTGAAATTATATTATAAGATACAGGGCTATTATGGTAGTTTTGGAAGCAGCATCATTTTACCCACTTCTTGCGCTGAGATTGCATTGTCTTTCGCGCTTTCAGCCTGAGAAGGTGACAGTTGTATTTCCTATGCGGTATAAGGACGGTAATGACGTGGTACTTGCGACATCATTCTTGCAGGTAAATGTCACATTCTTTGTTAGCAATAGATAGCTGTTATGTTGATTCACATCGTATCACAATATTGCGGTAGTGTTTGCACTAGACGTCTCTATTGTCCAGGTTTCTCTGGAAAGTTTCTGGCCTTCATACACCTTTCTCCACATGAACCCATCTTTTGCTTAAATGATTCCAAGGATTTTATCTTCTAGGAATGTTCTTCTTTCTTTGCTATGTGCCGTGCCGATGAGTACGCTTAATTGGGCACACGAATCTCATTCCGTCATATTGGGCTTTGAGATCATCAAGGAAGTATTCGCTTTCTGTCCTTCAGCATATGACATTAATTTGAGAAAGTTCATCGGTTGCAAAGAGCACATAGTGCTGTCTTAGGCTATGATGCAGATTTTAACATTTGCACCGGGTCCCCGTTGCAGGAGTTTATGGAGGCCAGACGGTCTGCCGGGTTGAGCACAGCACCTCCTTGCTTATGGGCTCCCTCTCCACCCCTTGAGCTAAAAGGAGCTCCAGAACATGCTTTGGATGCTAATTCTGGATTCGTATCTTTTGGTAGGATCTCAGGACCTCGACTGATAGCTTGATAGCTTTCTTTGGACGGATCATTCTGAAGCAGTCATCAATATGAAGCTATTTTTTATTTTTTTAATTTTTTTTATCCACTAATAAATCTCTATCATTTCATCAAGGGCTGTTGTGTTTTCTTGCAGTGATCTTTCCACGGCATGTTGAGGGTGAGAAGTTGGACCGAATAGTATGGAATCTGTCAACCTTCTATGCCTACGTCAGTTACCACATCAAGGTACGTATCTTAGAACTCTTTAAAGGATATATTCAGATGCAAGTGCTTCGTACAAATATTTTCAGTTAAAAATTGCGCGAAAACCTTCTCAAATACCTAGCATCTTTGCTGTAACCTGTCCATGGGAAGTATGGTAGCACATGAACAGATGTTCCGTGACGTATCCAGAAACTACCCCATGATTATCTTTCCTGGCGCTCTTTTATCTATGTTATTATGTGTATTAAACGTTGAAATTGTGTTTCAAGTTTAATCATGATACCTTCTTTGTGAGCAGTGCTCGAAAGCGTTTATGCACACTCGAATGAGAAGACGGGTAAACACACTTATACAGGTATGCTCGCTAAACTAGACCAATTTTGCTTCTACATTCTGCTGACATAGTTAATTTATTAAGGAAAATTTAGGACATTGAATGTATGTGTTTGATGACTTTTGATTGTTGACTTCTTGCATATTTTCTTTTTGGGCGTAGATTTCCTAGTAGCCCAGATGGCTTCTCCTCTGCGTACTCACCAGTTGATCACAATGTCTCACACCAGTTTGGCTGTTTTCTTCAGGCACTGGAAAAGGCCAAGTTGGAAGTTGAGAAGGAGAAGAAAACTGCTCAAGGTCGAAGTTTCAAGCGGCCAGTATAATCGAGCTTATTCTGTATTATTAGGTTATGTTGACAACTCGCTGGACGTTTCTTGATACACGTGAAGTTCAGGACCTAGTGGGATTCCTTGCTGTTTGCTTTCAACAGCCAAGTTGTTTGGAATGCCACAATGCCATGAACCAAGTTTTGATAACTCTTTGTTGCTAGACTAAGTTTTACATACGAATTCTATGGTCACAAGCAATTCCAGATCTAGTAAACTGTACAACAGATTACCGTTTATAATAACAAACGATCCTGTGATAGATTCAGGTCTAGTATTGAATAAGGATCTGCTTCGTTTACAGTAATCATTAAATTGAACTTCAAGAGAGCAGGCTACTCCAGTAATTAACGTCACTGTAGATCAATTAACAGTTAAAGGGCAGAGCACTCCAGTTGAGGGATGTACTACCGAACGAACTCCTGTTCTTTCTGATCGGGGCCTTAGCTTCATGAGAAATTCCGGGTCCACTACAAACTCGCCATTGTATGGATTGGAGGAGATTCGTGCCACGTAAAGGCACAAGGTTGAATTACTAGAAGATGCTAACCAAGCCAGCCATTATTCCCAGACAGTAAAGATTGTTTTCTACAAATTTTGCTTTCCTGTGGATTACAATAATATCCGTGACAATAAGGCAAGTAATAAACACACAAGCCTTTAGAAATCCAAATAAGGTTCAAACAACAGCTTATATCTAAATTCGACATGAGCGAAGGAGACATGACACTATACCCGAAGGTTGAATGCGTTAAACTCCCAGGGGTATCTTCATGAATCAGCGTAGCTACGCCCATCAAGTATTGGAATACTTCGGCATGGAAAACTGTGCGCCTGCCACCACACCTATGCAGGAACTAATGGTTGACTTGAATGCAGAACCATGTGACCTTACATGTTACTGCTCCATGGTCGGAAAGCTAAATCATCTTACACACACCCGTTTTGATATCTCCACTACAGTTGGAATTTGCTCAAGATTTCTTGCATGTCACCAACAACTGCACTTGCAGGCAGCCGGGCGGGTCATTACAAACATTAAGCACACTTCAGATTATGGTATCCTCTACCTCTCAAAACCCAACACAAATATTACAGGATTCGTTGATACAGACTGGGCAAGAGATATGACAGATGGTCGATCCACAATGGGATTCATATTCATGTTGGGGTCTAGTCCCATCACCTGGCTTTTGAAAAAGCAGCCCAAAGTGGCGATGAGCTCCATAGAACTTGAGTATATAGGACTATCCACAACTTCTAAGGAGGCAGCCTGGCTTGCAAAGCTCACCAGCGATTTCGGCCTCCAAACCACCAGACCTGCTCCCATTTATTGTGACAACGAAGGTAGCATGTGTATGATTGTGAATCCCAACATAAACCCTAGGATGAAACACATCAGCACTCATCGTCACTTTACAAGAGAGAAAATCCAAAACTGCAAAATTATACTCAAATATATTCCTTCATAAGAACAAGTCGCTAACATCTTTACAAAGGCTCTGGGAAAAGGACTTTTTCAAAAGTACAGAGCAAAACCAAATCTCATGACTTATTCTGAAGCTCAATATTTTCAGCCCCAACATCTACACTATCTTACTTACTATCCCTAATCCTCTGGCTAATCAACGGGTCTCACCTTTAATCAACTGCTCTCTTCTCCTCGACTTGACAAGATCAGAAGTAGACGTAGAGTTTCACAAATGATCACAAAAAATTTCAATTTCACTTCTTGTGCCACTCACCCTCGAAGCGATGTTCGCAGCAAGAGGTTGCTGTTGAGACCCAGAAGTTCCGGATCTCAATCCAAGTATAAAGACCCTGTTGTATCAAAGTGGTCTTCATGTAAGTTACATATATATATATATATATATATATTGCAATACCACTGTTCCTTGGTTACTCAATTTGTTTGTTTTGTTTATTTACTCTTTAGTTCATTTCTTGAATATATTTAGCTTGCTCTTCTCTTGTGTTTATTCTTTTTGACTGCATTGGCTGATCATTGGATTGCGGTAGCTGGGAGGAATTGGTTGCACGCCAAGCTTGCGGGTGAGTTGCATTACTTGGACTATTTAAGAGGATGAGCAGCAGCGGGGCCCAAGTATGAAGAGTTCGCCAATTGTTTTCACGTGCAAGAATCACGCGTTTAATTTCGTTGATTCGCCTGGACTTGCGGATTTGTGCAGCGAGGTATCCTCTATGGTGAGGTTCAGTGATGGCGCGGTGGTTTTGGTGGATGGTTGCAAGGGCGTAGAGATCCAGACCCGCGCCGTGCTTCGGCAGGGTTGGTTTGAGCTTCCAATACTCTGTTTGGTGCTCAGTAAGCGGGATCGTCTGATTTTGGAGCTGAAGATGGAGGTTTGTAATTGTATAAAAGTACTGATCGACCCTTTTTAACTGAAACTGTGAGATTCTGACCAGTTGCAGTAGATTGATATTGGTAATATTTCGAATTTGTTGTGCTCTATATAATGCGAAGGCTTCTCTTGTGGAGCTGAGAATGATATTATTTTATTTATTTTTTTATCGTGGTAAGGAATACTCAGAGTTGATTGTCGATTCTAGTTTTCACGAATTTTTTTGATGTGGATTTAGAATCATCTTCACTGGTTTGCGTATGGAAATATTACAGTTGATTTCTGCGTCACCGATTGAGGCCTAAAGCCTGTATTATGAGACACTTGGTTTGCACGGGGTTGAACGCTGTACTTTTGCTTGTTATTTTCATGCAGACTATAATTTAACCTTTTCTTTAGTCTAATTGAAGGAAAAATTGTAAATTTCTTGAAATTTATCTACAAAGAGGAAGGTGCAAAGTGCATTTATATAATATCTACCTTCATATAATGCACATAAGGCAGATAACTAGTTGCACACAACGTGCTAATATCACACTCTATAACTATCATAGAAAATAATAGCATGCTTGCTCCTACAATGATAAACTCAAGTTGTACCTTCACCATATAATCCTCTCTTGAATATACATGCCATGCCTAGGAAATAAACATTATCTACTATATAAAATATATTAGGAATTATAGCTATTTTGTAAAGAAAAAACACATGCAATTTCAAATTATAAAAAAAAAAAAAAAAAAAAAAAAAAAACTCAACCAAATATCTTATATCTCATAGCTGGATCACCAAATATCAATCCTATTGTCTTATTATAAATTGCATAGTAAATTCACTATCTTATAATTGAATTATAAAACATCAATTGTGTTGTCTTATCGTAAATTATACAATAAAATTAGTATTTGTCAATCCTTGTAAATATGACTTAGTGAGTAGAAAATTCACAATAGCAAACTAGAAGCCAATAAAGCTTGATAACTTGAAACAATACTAATTCCAATAATTTCATCTCATGAGCTATATCAATTTTGCTCATAAAATCCCTATATCTTGAATAGTAGCTAAATCAATCTTTAGACAAATGATTTCTTCTATCAACTTGTTATGTTCAACAAAAACTAATTGTACATGGCAGCTCTTCTTAATCCATCAATGACCACTACTACCCAAATACCTAAAACAAATTCAAGATGTGCATTAGCCCATACTCCATGTATGCCAAAGAACATCCAATAATTTTATTGTAAAGATTGCTAGTTATTAATTAACTTGTAGTGAAATAGAATTGATTTTTTGATCAAAATACTATAAAAAGAGATTGGAGCTATAAAAAGAGATTGGAGCTATAAAAAGAGATTGGAGCTAATTGACATTGTTGTCTTTAGTAAGTATTTCCACTTTAGTTTTGTTAAGACTTTGTAAATTGGCAAGTTAAGTTAAATTTTGATAAAAAATAATAAAGCAATTTTTTTTGATGAAAACAATGATGATTGAATGATGTAATCAATCAAAAGGCCAATTTGTCTTCCAACTTTATCTCATTGATTTATATCCCCTAAATGTGTTCCATATAATAGATTAATAGAATTTATTCAAATCTAAGATCCAATTGAATGAATTTTTGAATAAGTTATGCAAAACTAAACTTTTTATACTAAGTTTTAGTCTTTTTTGTAAAAAGAATAATGGTTAGTTTTGAATGTACATTCATTATTGATTTTAATTACAACTATTATTAAAAAATATCAAATTCTTTTAAATAAATAATATTCTTTTAATTGGTTCTATGAATTTGTAATTTAATTTACAAGTCAAAGATTAACAACATAGAACATCCTTGTATCTAAATTCTTTGTTTACATGCAAAATCTCTTGTAATAAAACCACATAAAAAATTATAGCATTACATGCAAAGTCTATTTCTATATAAAAAGACATTTTTTAGTTTAGAAATGTATAACCTTTATATGATTTCTATGCTAACTTAATAACCATCACATGACTTTTATGAAGATTCTTGGCCAATTATAGGGCTTTTTGTCCTTTCTTTACCTTCTTATTATATACCCACCCTTATTATATATACATATATAAACAAATTAAGGGTGAGATTTTATTTGTGTCCAATTTAAAATTCTCAAAATTCTAGTCAACTTCCACATTCACTTTTAGTTGTACAGGACAACCTTATCAAGATTCTGAGCAACTTGCACCTCTTCCAACAGTTGGAGGTGCAACACTGTATGGACTTCTTAAAAACCTTTGAAGAATACAAAGTTTCAAAGTTGAGAAAACGTGTCTTAACTGCTTGTGACTGTATCGAGTATATGATGCTCCCAAAAACTTCTGTTTTTAGTTAAGTGGAGATGGCATATTTATGTGTCTGCTGCATTCTTTTCCCTTGACAGTAGGTTTGTTTCGGATGGGAGAATGTTTTCGGGGAAGGCAACGATGGGTGAACGCAATTCCAAGAACAAAATGTGGACTTAGAAATGAAGTGATCGGTTTTCAACAGTGGCGTTGGCGTTCGTAGAAGGCCGTAGGATTATCCCTTCGTGAGCATGTGGTCAGTCGAATTGATTATGTCCAGAAGGAATGGTGCTGATAAAGCTTGGGGCGGTGGAGGAACGCAAGTTCGACCCGAGATTGTTGTTAGTTGTGCTCAAGAAAACAGAGTGAGCAACTCTAGCAAAACTGACTAGCACATGCACGATAAGCAATATGAAGGATTGCGTGATGAGTGTAAGCTTGTATTGACTGTCCCGTAATAGAACTGTTACATCGAAATAGGTCATGCCCAGGGAGATGACCAATATGTTGCTGGAGCTCAAGTTCATTATCGTGTGAATAGGAGAGTGAATAGGAGATTTTGGGTCGATTCTCAAACCACCATGAGGAGGCTTGCGCTTGAGAGTCAGGGTGCGGCTCTGCTTCTGGAGATTGTCATTCGATCAACACTCGACCAGTTTCTTCTTCTCTTCCTCCTTGGGCGGGAGCATGACCTTGTAAGTGGTGGTGTTCGAGCTCGACAGCACGTAGTTAACCATCTCAACACTCCATCCCGCTTTGGTTCATTGTATATCCGTCGGCCTGCACTCCATCCGAATACAATCACAATCAGAGACCACTATCCCCACACCAATTACAAGGCCTATGTGACACCGGGATGATCCTGGCAACAAGCTTGCCTTTACAAGTAACTGCAACTTTTTGAATACTCTAAGCTCGAAACTGTAAAACCGTTGATGTCAGGAGTACCAAGACAGCTACATGCCATTGGAGAATTTAAATTTCGCTACAAGTGAGGCCGCAGGAGCTAATCCTTGGAGAGCAGCCATACTGACAGATAACTAGGCCAAATTTCATTCACCTTTGCAGGTAGTCTTGGCCTTGGGCGGCTTGGATTTCGTCACAGGCTCGGGTTACATGCGCTCTGAAAGGAAAACGATCCCACCATCTTCCACTGCTGGCGCTCCTGGTCGGTGTCTGGAAGACCCTAACCATGCTCTGCGCTACTTCCTACGTTACAGCTTGGTTCCATTACCTGGGGCAGCCACAAACAAATATCTCATCAGCTGGATTTCACCAATAGAACCTAAATCCACATATAAAAGACCACACAAGTAACAACCAAGACAGTAGAAAAGCCGAATCAAGGAAAGATTTTAAACTATCCAAGAAGAATGCATAGTGCTTGTAAAGTGTGATTTTAAAGATGAAAATAGAGACGATTGAATTGAAAGAATAGTGAGAAATTGATAATTGAAGACTCACATGGAAACATGCTGACAAAGGTGGATGCTTCATTTGGAAACATGACCCCCGATGGCTCTGTGCTTGTAGGCAATCACCTTAATCTATATGCCCATTGCCTCTCGACTTTCACTAGAATCGCCTCAATTTCTTGCATTAACAAGGAATGCAATGAGATAACCTGGGAAACGGGCTCAATCCTTTTTCACAAGCTTCCTCCTTGCAAGCCAAGCGGCCTCCCGTGGTTTATATCCAGGACTCTCATTACTGATAGATGGTAGACCGATGGTAGACCGTCGTCGTTTTACATGAAGTGGGGGCAGGGATATTTGTGTTCAGTTCCTTTGCGGTGCGGCATCAGTGGCCCCGAATTCCGACTTTACTCTCAAATCAGACCACGTTTATTCTTGTTGTGTTCGAGTGCAGCAGGACTAAGTATGAATTGTAACATTGTTTTAAAAGTCGACAATCCTGATAGTGTGCAGTACTCGTCGGATGAACACAAATACAGCCGATCGGTCGGTCTCCCCAGGGCACGCAGGATTGAACCACTTGAGAGAACCATGACGTTCGTCATTCATCCTGACTTGTCCAGGTATTCCATTAAATAGCATCGAGGCGTTGAGCATGCCGATAGAATTAGAGCTCAGAAAGTTCTGTAGGAGATGGTGAGTGGCGCTGTTTGACGAAAAAATTAATCCGAATCCATCGGCAGTGATGGGTTGACAATACAAATGCAAAAACCATTTCTACATCCCGGCAGTAGCCTGAAAAGGCCACATGGTTTTCCTCTTAAGAGCCTAACTTGAGTCTAATCTCACACAGGTCTAAACCTCGCATCAATGCCAATGTCAGCTAGACAACACCATGTGTAACTGATCTAGCCAGTAGTATGTCATTCCCAAAGCACAGTACACCGATGTCAGCATCAGCGGTACAAAAGGAAACGAGCCTCCAAAGAACAATGGATGAAAGCATTGCCCATATATTTCTATTACCATTATGCCCCCTAAATAAGCTCCTTCTACTGGACCTATTAAAGGCTTCACAGTCTCTTGAACATTGAGTTCCGTATTTGAAGCTGCTTTCGCCTTTAAATCCCCTGAATCCTTTGTGCTGGTTCCAAATAATTGCGAGAAGTTGAGCCAAATCACAAGTGCGTATAGAAGGAGAAGAGTCACCTTGATAGGGTACTCCTTCGATTCAAAGAGAAGAGGAAACAGCGAGTAGGTCGAAACCACCGACAAGAAGAGGAACGCTCTTGCATCCTCCAAACGCTCAACTGCCAGCACGCTGAATGGTATCACCATGTGCAAAGAAGCTTTCTCGTGGACATGCCACCCAAACATAAACCCGCATGTGAACGTGTACACAACCCAGCGGATGAAGGCATTTGGTACCGGTTTACGCCAGGCCTGCACGAGGCATGGCATCATTGAGCCGATAACGAGAATTGCTGACACAATTGGAGTAATCTGAGGGAAGACAGCATACGGTGTGAAATCTCCAACGAGGCCCCCTGTCAAGCCTGCTTTAGGTCTATCGATATAAACACCGAACAACTTCCGCATTACGACAGTTGCAGATTTGTCACCTGTACTGTACAGGGCCCACACATTGGGAGCCCAGTATGCGTGACATAAACCCCGCCCGAAAGGAAACAGCCGCTTCATTAACTGCGGCATCTGGCCATGATATAGAAACGGACCGAATGCAAGTGCTACAATGCTAATCACCGCACTTGCCATAATACAGAATCGAGCTATTTTCTGGGGTCCTTTACAATAATGCCGCAGGATATACACGAAGTAAATTGGCCCCGCAATCGCAAATAAGTGCTTAAAGCACACCAGAGCGGCAAAGTAGATGCCACCGAGCAGGTCATTCCCATCCCGCATCGCAGCCAGCGACAAAAATAAAATCCCGAACAAAAACCCATTATACTGAAAATGGATGTGATCCACTATCAGAAGCCCGGGCGAAAATATGACAACCAAGTAGAGGATCCTACGTCTCATTCTTGAGAGACCACTTCCGATTTCCCATAACCCCCAATAGAGAACAAGATCCGCTGCCATAACAGTGCCTCTCTGAAACAGCACCACGCTCCTGACGGCATAGTTCTGGCCATTAACTAGGTCAACAATCTGAGGATCAAACCATGAGGCGAAAATTGCAAGAAACCGTTCAAAGAAGGCGAAGAAAGGAGGATAGTCGAGGGTCCACTGGCTGGATTCGTCGGAGTACCACTCTTTGAGAGGGAGGGAGTGCGTAATTGCAAGCCAGTGCCTATGAACTTCGAAATCCGTGCTGTGGTAGGCTGGCACCAAGAGAACCTTGACACATGTGGCAATCCCTACCAGCCACAGCAAATACTGCAAATCGGCTGCACCCATGACAAACAACGGAATTGAGGGACGAAGAAAGGATAGAACCCTAAGGAAACCTCCAAAGCACTCGGCGATGCCTGGCCTGCTCTAGCACGGCCATGTTCAACCGTCGAGGTGCTGCAATACGAGGCTGTGAATCAGAGAAGTGCGGTGCGAAAGAGCAGCCCATGTGCGCCCTGGATCGATTCCATTGCTTGCGGGCCGAGAGCTCGTCGTCCCGAGTCTTGTTCACCACCGACACATCGGCGCTTCACAAAAAGATTGCGGGAGCCGGAGGTAGAGGCCCATCAAACCCCGGGGGCCCGGTGGAGACACTCGGGCCGCTACCATCACACGGGGCTGAAGGGTCCCTTGCAATTCAAGGGTTTCTGTTACCAAATCACTATTTATATCGAGAATATTTGTAAAACCAATTGCTCACCGTTGAGGGGAAAAAAAATTAAATAAAATAAAAAACAACCCTAAATTGTGCATTTGAGAGGATTATTTTTTGAAATTAATGTTTATCTAATTCTATAAATTTGGAAGGTCGATCAATGTTTAATTTGTCCACTTACTGTAATTGCTCTTCATTTAATAATAATGAGTCTAGCCCAAGAAAAGAAATTTTTAGACCAAGTATTCAATTTGAACACCAAGTTTTTTGTTTCATTTGATTCTCATCCATGTATGTTAATAGAGGTATTAGATAGATAATTACTCCAAATTAGATAGGCAAGTCAATAATAATCAAATGTTGAATATCCTCAAAAAATGGATTGCCTCTAAAGTATTATGTTGTTTCTAACTTAAATAGCTTAATATTCTAAAAGCACTCTAGAATGTCAATATATGCCTATAATTAGATATTACGTTTTAAGATACATTACTCTCTTTAGATATAGTTTTTATAATCTCATATCTACTTGTAGAACATCTTCTCATGTATTTTGTTTACTTTTACTATAATTTATTTATATTTTAATTTATGATATTTTTTTATTATTATATATGTTTCTATCTATTTAGATTGTTGTAATTCCCTCATAGATTTCTACCAATAACAAGTTTGCTGCAAGAAAAGATTTGATCATATGTTTGAATAAAGGAATGTCATATAATATTATTGCAACCAATAGCTAGAATCTGATTTTTGAGCTTAGTTATTCTTTGTAGCTATATTATTTTTAGCAACAAGAGTAAGTGTGAAGAAGGAAGTATTTATCTATTTATATATATAATTAAAATAATTATCTAAAATAATAAAACAAAAAAATTATTGCAATTCAAAATAGCATCTCAATTTTTTTGTAATATAAAATATTGATAATATAATTCCACAAAATCTTTTTAAATTATATACATATCTAGCTATACTTCATACAAATTATTCAACCAATACAAAACAATTGTACCTCTTAAGATACAAATCTTATTTTAAAATAAATAATACATTAACTGCAACCAAATGTATTTAAAAATTATTGAAATAAATCACTTAGTAAAAGGTATTACCTTAGGTAAGTTGTTAGTAGTCAAAAGGCAGCAAAAGAATATAAGGAAGTTATTATGGTGGCTTGTAGGATTTGTAGGTGGCGGCTAGGATTTGTAGGTGGCCGCTAGGTTAAGAAAGAACCTAGGATTTAGATGGATGAAGTAGAAATGGATGTAACGTTAATAGAAGTTGCCTCGATAGTTGGCAACCACCTCCTATAAGTAAGAAGTGTTGGAAGTAAGAGTTATCTTACTCCATATTTCCTTTTGTGTGCAACCTTGCTATTGCTAAGTGTTGTAATTTCAAAGTGCTTGTTCTTCAATAGGTTATGGGCCCACTCACCTTTAGTTATAAGTTTTGAAGTTCTTTGAAGTCTTTGTTGGTGTTAAGAGTAGATCTTATGGTTGTTACTGATGTTAGAGTTTGATATCTTCTAAATCTCTTTTTGCATCTAGTTATTGATGTAATTATGCTCTTACTTGTTGTTAAGTGCATTCATAGTCTTTGAGGTTGTTAGATACCTTAGATTGACGTTTAAGGATACTTGTGTTGTCTTTCTTTGCTGAGTTTTATCATTAGTGCTCTAACTTTGTGCTTTAATGTATTAATCTCTTTAAGAAACCCACTCATTGTGATTAGATGTACTTTGTGAGGTTAGAAGTATTTTGTGAAAGAAGAGAGGTGATTAAAAAGAAGCAAAGCTTATTCAAGAGGTTATCAGACTTGTGAGAAGTCTTATAAGTAAAGTTGAGAGTGATTGAAGAGTATAAACAATAGTTTACTCATTAAGAGGGCATTCTAGGTCTTTAAGGTAGTAACAATTTCTTGTTGATTTTGAGAGTTCATTCTTCTCTTTTTCTTGATTTTCTTTGATACACTCCTTCCTTAGACATGGCTGCAAGTGAGGGTGAGGATTTGAGAATAATTGAGAATTTTAGGGGTGGTAACTTCTACCATTGGAAGAAGAAAATGGAACTCTTGTTGGCTTCATTAGACCTTTGGAACATTGTTGATGAAAGTGAAGACCCTCCAAATAACAATGCTAATGTAAAGGTGAAAAGGAAGTACAAACAATAAAAAAGGAAGGCTTTTGGCATGATTGCAACAAATCTTCATGATGCCAATTTTTTACATGTAATTACTTGCACTGGACTAGCGAAAGCATGGTAGACTCTTTGCAACATCTATGAGAGTAGAAACCTTGCCAACATTCTATGGACAAGAAGAAAGTTCTTAACAATAAAGTTGGAAGAAAGAAATGACCTCATGGCTCATGTTAACAAGGTAAAAGTACTTGCAAACCAACTAGCAATTATTGACACACCAGTTGATAATAGAAAAATTGTGTTGACATTACTCATGAGCCTTCTTGAGTCCTACAACTACCTCATTGTGGCATTGGAGTCCATCAAAATGAAGGAACTTACTATGAATTATATTACGTCAAGACTTGCCCATGAAGTAATCAAGAAAAAAAAAAAAAAAAAAAAAAAAAAAAAATCAAAATGAGGATTCGGCTCTATTCTCAAGACAAGGCAAAGGTAGCTATTCTCACCAACGTGATAGTTCAAAGAGCAACATGAGAAATTACTATATTTGTGGAAAATGAGGTCACTTTGCTAAGAATTACTACAAAGCCAAGAAAGGAGATAGAGAGAATGTAAACAATGCTTGTGATAACTTTGGTGAAGATGACTATGCTTTCATGGCAAGTGAAAGAGCCTCTATGGCTGCAATGTCTAAGTGGATTATAGATTTAGGTACTACTAAGCACATGACACCATATAAGTGTTCATTTGACACTTATGAAGAAATTTTAGCAACCAAAGCTTGGTTGGGAGACAGTGGCATGGTACAAGCCATTGAAATTGGCTTAATTATTGTGGAGATCATTGTGAAGGACCAAATCAAGAAGATCAAATTGAAAGAAGTCTTATATGTATCAAAGATGAAAAAGAACCTCTTTTTGATGATCAAACTTGTATCACATGGTTGTAAGGTTCAATTTGACATGAATGGATGCTTTATGAAGACAATGGATGGACAAGATGTTGCCAAAGGCCTTAGAGATGGAAATCTCTACTTCATTAATTGTAAGAACGTGAATGGAGTTGAAGTGGTTGTATTTGGTGATTTTCCATAAGACTAAGACAAGTTTGGAATCTAGCATCAACGACTTGGTCATTTAAATGCCAAATGCATGAACGAGCTTCAATCCATGGTAAGTGGCTTGAATCTTGATCATTTCAGCCACAATACCATGACACTTGTTTATGAAGGTTGTATACAAGACAAATAACAAATGAGTTCATTTCCAAATGGAATTGTAACACATACAACTAAATTATTGGAAATTGTGCATTTTGATGTTTATGGACCAATGAAGACACCATCAATTAGAGGAGCAAGATACTTTATTACATTCATTGTTGATTTTTCAAGAAAAGTATGGATTTACATCATTAAAGCTAAGACTGAGTGCTTTTCAAGGTTTAAAGAGTTTAAAGCTCTTATAGAGAAACAATGTGAGTGTAAGATCAAAGTATTGTGCACAAACAATGGAGGTGAATACATGTCAAAGCATTTTGATGAATTCTTGAAGATTCAAGGTATTACAAGATAAACCTCTACTCCTTACACTCCACAACAAAATGGAGTTGCTGAAAGAGCAAATTGTACCATTGTAGAGATGGCAAGGAGTATGCTTCATACACAACACTTAGGACATGAGTATTGGACTGAAGCTGTGGTTACTTCAGTATATACAAGAAATAGGTGCCTTACAAGTGCACTTACATCAATGACTCCATAAGAAGCTTGGAGTAGCAAGAAACTTTATATTTCACACATGAGGATCTTTGGATACATTGCTTATGCAAAAGTATCAGATTGCATGAGATCCAAACTTGATGCAAAGAGTACAAAATATGTATTTGTTGGATATTGTGAAGGTACAAAAGCATACAGGCTAATGTGTTTAGAAACCAAGAAGATCATCAAAAGTTGTGATGTTGAGTTTTTGGAGCATAAGAGTATTTTTGAGCACTAAAAAATGTGTCTGACTAGGAGTACTAGTGTGTTTGTGGACACATCATCAATTTCAGCAAAAAAAGAAGAAGATGATGATGGTGACAATGAAGTTGGAAGAAATGCAAATCAAGGTGAAGTGCTAAAGAAGGTAAACCATAGTGTACCTTCAATTGTTAAAACCATCAATGAATACAATGATAATATTGTTGATAATGATGATGATGAGGAGTATCAACTTTTAAGTGAGAAAAGACAAGCTTTAAAGAAGAAGAAGCTTGGAAGAGAGCATAAAGTACAAGAAGATGAAGCCTCTTCAAATGAAAGAAGATATCCTTTGAGAGAAAGAAAACCACATGGTGAATGGTGGAAGGACCACATATTTCCTGAAGTAAGTGAAGAACATGCCAATGTTGCTCTTTTTGTTGATCCATTAAGTTTGTGTAATGCAATGAAGTCCACGGATGCTATGAAGTGGGAGAATGCTATGGAAGAAGAATACAAATCACTCATGGACAATGGAATATGGAAATTGACTCAACTTCCACCAAATAAATCTTCAATTGATTATAAGTGGGTATTTAGAACCAAAAAGAATGTAATGGGCAATATTATGAGATATAAGACTAGATTGGTTGCCAAAGGCTAATCACAAGTTGTTCGTGTTGATTTTAATGAGACATTTGCTCTTGTGGCCAAATTTACCACCATTAGAACCATTGTGGCAATTGGGGCAGCAATGGACTTGAAAATGCATCAAATGGATGTGAAGACGACATTCTTGAATGGAAGCTTAAAAGAAGACATTTACATGGATCAACCTCAAGGCTTTGTACAAAAAGGCAATCAACATCTTGTTTGTAAGTTGAGAAAATCTTTGTATGGACTAAAACAATCTCTAAGGGCATGGTACCAACGCATTGATACTTTCTTTGTGACTGAAGGGTTTGTAAGAAGTAAGGCTGATCATTCATTGTATGTAATGCAATCAAATGAATTCATATTGATTGTTATCTTATATATTGATGATCTAATTATCTTAACCAATACAATGAAGATGATAAATTGGTTGAAGGCAAAGTTAGAAAGAGAGTATGAGGTGAGTGATTTGGGAGAGCTTCACTATTATTTAAGAGTAGGGTTTGTAAGAAATTGTGCTAAGAAGACCATTACAATGGGCCAAAGCAAGTATATTGAAGAGGTGTTGAAACGATTCAACATGGAGGAGTGTAAGCCTATTGGAACACCTTTGGAGGCCAATTTGAAGTTGATGAAGCTCACAGATGAAGAATTTGCTGAAGTTGAAGATCAAATGCAAGGAATTCCATACAAAATAGTAGTAGGCTCACTAATATATGCAATGGTTGGCACAACGGTGGATCTTGGATATGCGGTGAATGTTGTGAGCCAATACATGTCAAAAGCTAGACCAATCCATTTGGCAACCATCAAAAGGATCATGAGGTACTTAAAAGGTACTTTGAACTTCAAATTGTGCCTTGGAGGTGATAACATTATTTTGCATGGTTCTTGTGATGTGGATTGGGCTGGAGATACAAATGATAGAAGATCAACAATGAGATATGTGTTCTTTGTTGGAGTAGGAGCTATATCATAGAATTGCAAGAAACAACCAACAATTGCAAGGTCAATAATAGAGGCTGAGTACATGGCAGTAAGCCATAGTGCAATGGATGCAATATGGCTTAAACAACTTTTGGAGGACATTGGAAATGTGCAAATGGAAGCAACTTCAATGGAGTGTGACAATCAAGGATGTCTTGTATTTGCAAAGAATTCCAAGCATCATTCAAGGAAAAAATACATTGACATTCAACATTACTTCATAAGAGAGAAGATTGAAATGGGAGTGATTGATATGAAGTATTGTCCAACAGGAGACATACTTGTTAATTTGTTGATAAAGGCATTAATAAAGAACAGACACCACATGTTGACAAAGGCATTAGGATTGAAAGCCCTTTGACCAATAGCATAGAAGAAGTGTTGAAGTAAATCACTTAGTAAAAGGTATTACCTTAGGTAAGTTGCTAGTAGTCAAAAGGTAGCAAAAGAGTATAAGAAAGTTACTATAGTGGCTTGTAGGATTTGTAGGTGGCGGCTAGGTTAAGAAAGAACGTAGGATTTAGATGGATGAAGTAGAAATAGATGTAACGTTAATAGAAGTTGCCTTGATAGTTGGCAACCACCACCTATAAGTAAGAAGTTTTAGAAGTAAGAGTTATCTTACTCCATAATCCCTTTTGTGTGCAACCTTACTAATGCTAAGTGTTGTAACTTCAAAGTGCTTGTTCTTCAATAAAAATTACTTGTATAGATTAGTTAATATATAATATAAAAATTATATTATATCTTATACAACAAAGGACATTTGCAAAGAACAAACAAGAAAAATATTAATATAATTTTTATAATATTAGATTATATTACAAATAAATTAATTTAAAAAAAAAACATAATATATTGTGCTCCAATTACTTCCATAGATTAGATAAGAATTGAATTTTAGGATAAACTAAATTACAATACACAATGATTTTAGATTGTGAAAGATTAAATTGAATTAGATGAAATTTCTATCTCTATATAAGTTAAATTCTATAATATAAAAAAATTATTTTAAAACATAATCAACTATATTGGATGATAATATTATTTTTAAACAAGATAAATTATATAAGATAGTGATTATATTTTTAAATAAATATAATTTTTACATATATTTATTATTTTTATAAATAAGATAAGTTTTAGAATAGTCATTTTATTTTTTAAGATGTATTTTTCTTAATTGAACTTCTTAAATGTATACAAAATGTAATTACATATGATTAATAATTTAAATTTTAAATTTTAAATATTTATATTTATATTATATTTTTTATAAATTATATATAAATATTAATTTATTCATTTGATATACAAGAAAAAGTTATTTTTGTTAGTACTTACAATAAAATTCAAATTAAAAATATTATAGTAAATATTATAGAAATGTACAAGAATATTTTGTATATTTAAAATCTACTTTCTTGTCTTGCTTGTTACAATAGGCTTATATTTACTAAAGATGTTAAAGATGTTAAAGAAGTAAATATGAATCCATAGTTATAGTTGTCAAAATAGCTAATATCTTACAAAAGAGATTCAATGATTTTTTGAAGGTAAAAGTAACAAAAGATGAATCTCATGTATCATGATTAATTAATTATAGATTAAAAATAAATTTAAATTTAAAACTTCTATAATTCTATTCTTTATTACTACAAATATTGTATGTATTTATTTCTTTTTATATTGTATATAAAGTTATTAAATCATATTAGATGATATACATGTCATTATATTATAATAATCATGACTTGATCAAATTTAAGTAATTCTTTTCAAACAATAAGTTTTTTTTATTTAAATATAATCTTCTATAAATACATATCTATAAATATTTTCAAATTTCAAATTTAATATTTTATTCTAATATGCAAGCATTTGTAGGTCTATAAGTTGTAAGAATATAAATATGCAAGAAATCAAGCACAAGTATAAAACTTAAAATATGATGTACAAAAAATGTTTTAGATATGTCTTAACTCCTTATGTTTTTACCTATAATTTTGCAAAGCATATTACAACTATATATTGCAACTTTTAAAATATCCCTAATTGCCTCCTATCTTATTTATGAACATATTCTATCCTAAATTATGGATTTTGCTATTGCCTCCACAACTTGCCATCCACTTGAGTCATGGTCTTTCACAATCTCATACACTCCTTTCATATTATCCTCTCATATGTAACATGTCTACCACTCTCTTCATAACTTTCTTTTCACAGATCTTGACATAGCTAGCATCTTTGCAAATTGTAACACTTTAATTGCCCACATGCAAAAAGGCAGGCAATGCTGCAAGTTATGCAATTGTAATACAAAATTTCAACAACTCCAACAATTGCCTTGAGTTGGGATGTGAGTGTGGCAAACATTTCAAGATGACAAGTTGTGGTAGCAGTAAAAACTGTGGTGACATAAGCAAATATCCAAAAATATTTGCATGCAAGCAAACTAATCCATGAAAGACCCCAAGAATTTATCATGGTGTGTTATGTGTGACAGTGGAATTTTCTTATTGAACGGTTTGATTCAAATGGCTGCACAATTTGGACACCAGCCGGTTTGTTGCAAAAATGCCAATTATGTGATTCATCTTGAGTTCTGCTTGAGAAACAGCAGTCATGGAGGTTTTTGGATATCGTGTTCATTCTGTTCCAGTTACTCAAGCTTCGAGTACGATGTTCATGATTAACACGATTGCAATAACTCATCATTACTTTGAGTTATCACAATGATGCTGAGGAGGTTGAATTATTGGGATCAAGCACGATTTATGAGCAGTTCCAACAGAACGATTCTCATGAAAAATAAGCAGCTATGGTACAAGCAGTTCGGTACTGACATCGATTTCACGAATGTAAAATGTAGGAAACGATGCAAGTGGGACCAGCATATAACTCCCTGCTCATCTATAATACTGCCACTGTCAGTGAAGAAACGCTCAAGTAGGCGGATGATCAAACAATTTTCTTCATAAAAGTCTATGACATGACACGAAGAGATGCGATTGCCTCCAAGTAATATCACAACACAGTGGTCCATGCCGGAATTGCAACAATCTACATAGTTATTTATGTTTCCCAAGTTACAAAGGTGCATTTATCTTTTAAACCTTCTGCTGTAATTGAGGGTATGAAATAACTTCGCCCATATATATCATCATCTAGCTACAAACATACAGGACCAGGCAGAAAGTAGGACTTGGGTGCTTCAAAAACGGTTTCAAAATAGCAAAGCATGTTAACATGTTTTGCTTTTCTATCATACTTTGCTACTCTCCATGCATGTTGGATGGTAGGATTGCTCAAGCAATCAAATTCCTAAGCTTCACAGACTAATACAAACAAATAGCCGGAAAATAAAGAGCAACCCATTCTGCAGGCGACCATAATCTAAACAACGTATCAGCAAAACTGTGGCACGAAAGTACAAGCGAGACCACTTCACATCGAGGCAACTGGATCCATATGACAGGAAGCCACATGTACAACCTATGGCGCACATTTGTGAGGAGCCTGATTATAAACTCACATCCAAACATATTTACAACCTTCAGAATACTACCTATTCATCTTCTAGAAATGCTTTAACGTGGAAAGTTTCTGCCACTGAAGAGAATCCAGGCTGTCAACAATCAATCCAACTTGAAATAGACCGAGATTATTTAAAAAATCAGTCACTCTCTTCATCTAGCTTCGACAAAATATCATCAATAGCTTGAGCTTGAGGATTGACTTTATCTTGGAGGAACTCAATGGCAGGTGAGAATGGCATGTTCAAGTGGTGAAACACCATCGACCGAAGTCGTTTCCCCTGGGAGTTAAGCTCTTTCTGGACAGTCTGATGCATTCCTGGCAAAGCTTTCCAAAGTACGAAAGCTTTTCTAAGGTCACGGCTCATTTTGACCTGCGCAAGTATATACCAAAACAATAAGACAAAATGGTAAAATATTTCACAAAAATCAGCACTTTCAGGTCTGAGTGATTGAAACTGTATTTGAACGACGTATTTAGACTCATAACGTAATTAGCTACAGAATCTCGATCTACAAGAGGATGCATTCTCCCAACCAAATCGAATAATGACCGATCTCCGAATAAAGAGGCCTATCCTCATTGAGCACTACAAAAAGTGACAAGAATATGAAAGATACATTTCTTCAATAGGTCTCCAGAACAAATTCACAGCAAACCAAAATGCAATATATATCATTATAACACCAGTCTGAAGGGAAACAGGAACGCGCTAACCTGGTGGATTTCAAAGCCGCATCGTTGGAGAAGAGGGACATTACAGGGACCTTGCTGTAAAGCAGCGCTGATGATAGCTTTAACCTCCGAAGCCAACCTATTCTGTCGAATTGAAGCCTGCCCATTCTTGCCTCCTTTCCTGTCGCCTGGTCGCTTAGGGGACTGCGACGATGAAAAACCTTGACTGCCATTCAAGACTCGTAACAGATGTCTATCTGGACATACATTATGTCTTGAATGGCCAATGGTCGTTTCAAGCAAGCTCCTCAACATGGCAACAATTTCACTTAACTCTACCCCTAAATCCAAAGTCGCCCCAAATCTTGACACCCAGTTCGATTACGGCCTATTTCCAAGTGCATGATAACATCAAATCCATCCCCGTGCAAACTTCACGACCTGATGCATCTCATACTGCAGCTGAAAATAAAATGAAGTAAAATAAAGGGACGAAAACTGGCTCTTCAACGCCGTGCAACCACAACGAACCCACCCACTATCACCACACCACCTTCCGAGTCAAACCCAAGTCACAAACTCTGTCATTTTTCTACCCTCGGACTTCCACCACACCAATCTGCAATAAATCCCAACAAAATGTAATTATTCATCCACCGTCGCTATACCGCAGCCCAACCCACCAGCAACACAATTGCAAACTCCGTGACATTCCAATTTATGCAAACATCACACAAAGTCCACACACTTCTCTTTCTTCTGCGATTGAGCTACTTTCAAATTGATCAAGTCCAGCACGATAACAAACCAAAACCCTCACCCGAAAGTCATGCTTCACGTGCAGAGACAGACCCTAAACCCTGAACCCTAATACTTAGTAAGTTTATTAAATGGAAAGCATAGAAAAACAGTAAACACGTGTACGAATCAGAGAAACTTACGCAGCATCAAGATGGACGTCAGAAGCTGGATTGTGTGCCGCTGTCGACCATATCGCAACTCAAATCTCGAAAAAACAGGGAGACGATCAGTCAAGACCTAATTGCATGTGTATTTTTGGCTTCCAAGGTATCGAAATGTGATCACAACGGGAGTAGGAGAAATGATCCATCGAGAATGCAATCTCTAACCTCGAAACACCTTAAACCGTTACCTACCCCTGAACCACCAACTAGCCTTAAGGAGAAACCGCGGGACCAAGCCCTTTCACCGCGGAATGCCACTGGGAGGGTGTGGGACCACGAAGGACATGTGTGCTGACATGGCAATGGACAGGAATAGAAAACAGGTATTGCGGCTCACGAGGAAGCCAGGCACGGTTTAAGAACACACAATTTCGAGGTCAGCTCGAGGACTATATGCGACTGGTTATCGAACTGTGATTGAAATTTTGGAACTGTGATTCAGTATTTTCGAACTGTAATTTATTTTCGAACTGAAATTCACTCTGCTGAGGTAGACTTGTGTTCCAGGTTTAGGGTGCTACTGTTGATTGCTGAGGCAAATTTTTCCTGCACAGGGTTACTGCGACAGAGGAGTTTGTTAACGAGATCAAGGTACTCAATCTCTGCATTCCACTTTCTTACGTAGTCTCTTGTGTTGTGCGATTGAAATGGCAGCAGCGACCGCAGCAAAGTAGATTAGAGTAATGTTAAAACGTTTTGAATCTAGCACGTTCCCTTCGAAATCATGAGAAAGGCACACAGTGTTTCTGCCGTGGGATTCCAACGTTGGACTAATTCACGATTGGTTTAAAATTGAATCGGGTAATGAAAAGTTATAGACTATAACACAACATAAAATATAACAGGAATGGTAAATATTTGCATATCACAACAAAATAATAATAATAAAATATAACAACAACAGTAACAATCTCAAAATGTATTCATCACGACTTGTAGAATTGTTTCCTTGAATATTGAATCTAGTTTAAGGACTCCTCACTAACAACAGAAATGACTTCTAAAATCACAAGACCACTTGTCAAATAACTTTTCAAGCATTACAGGATGACGTTTGTAAAGCCATTGAAATAAGTTGATGAAAAATGTAACTGAAAAGTGTGTAAATCTTAGAATCAAGTTAGAACTGGAATGGATTTGAAAAAAATGTTTCTCTAGTATATAGTCAAATCTGAATAAGAAATTATACAGAAACTAATCTTACAATTACATAGAGATTAGAGAAAGAGATCAAGCATGAACAACACAGAATAATTAAACAAACACATCTCAAGAAACCACCATTTTATGACTCTTCTATTTTTAATTACACTTTATCATTTTTGTTGTTGTTTGTTGTTTGTTGTTTTTTTTGTTTTTTTTTTTTTTTTTTTTTTTTTTTCATATAAAAAATTGCTTGAGTGGTAGTAGGATGGTCATTGCAAAATCTAGCGTGTGCACTTTGTAGTCCATGGTGCCCAATCAATAGAAGTAGTTGTCATGTCTTCTTGTTATCATGTCATGTCATACCTCTAGTTAAGCCATACCATTTTTTAAAATTTTCCAAGGAAAGCGGTTTTCAAGAAATTATATAAAAAACTACAAATCCAAGGCAATTATGTCTATGCAATTCCAAACTTGGATGACTTTAAATATGTTTAAATATGGAGTATTCATTTTGTGGAGTGTATTTGCCGAGAAGATGAAATTTCTATTGAAAAATACCACTTACTAGTATTCAATGGGCATAACAACCACATTATGCTCCAACTTACAATATTTGCTCATAATATTTGCATCCATATAAAAACTTACCTTCTAAGTTAAGATACGTGTTGTACAAAGTCAACACGTTTTAGAGGTCCTATAGAACATTGCTATGTAGCTCTTAGGTAGATAATATATATAGAGGCAAGAATGAAATTTTCTTCACTCTTATCAATTCCTTTCTTTTTTCTAATCTAATTTCAAGAGTTTTTAGTTTTTTTGTCTTTTGACAATAGCCATTCTAATTTACTTTTAATATACATGTTTTTTGAATTTAGTCAACTTATTTTATGATAAATTATAAATTGGTCCAAATGGCAATTGAGCTCCTTCTTGAAAGTCAATTGAGCAATCAAAGAGACAATGTTTTGGTAGGATATCCACATTCTTTTTCTCAAATACATTTTGAAAATCTTAATATTGACTTGAAATACCACTTGAAGTCTTTTCACCATTATAAACTGGTGCAACATAAATGATACAAGGTAATCTTTTTGTAATATGCAAGAAAACTCTTCCACCAATAAATATAGGTTTGGTTGTACCAAACTTAAAATGTTCTATTTGATTAATTACAGTCTTAGTTATACTTTTAAAAAAATAAATACTACAAGAAATCTAATCTATTTTTGAATTATATTTTTGTAGCCATAATAAACCATAAATGATTGGATTATAGGGAGATCTAATGATATTAAATATTATAAAAATACTATCACCATTGATTATTACTTCTATAGGAAAGATTTCATAAGTAATATTTCTTGAAGATAATAGATGACTACCTATGACTTCTATGTGAATAGGTTTAGTTTTCTTCACTAAAGATATGCTATGTCTTTTAGCAAATTCTTCATTTGAAAAACACGTTGAGACTCCTGAATCTAAGAAGGCAAAGACTTTGTGATATTTAGGTCTTAAAATAAAAATTATTGTAAAACAAAGAGAAGATTCTAAGGAGATGATATGATCTTCACTAGATATTGTACAAGGTTCCAGCTACACATGTGAGGGATATTAATTATGAAATGATGCATAAATCAATGAAATCCGTCTTCAAAAAAAAGTAAAAAAATAGAAATAAGAAAGTACATATATAAAGAAGAAATTAATATGGCTTATTATCAAAAGACAAAAAAACTTGAGACTCTTAAAATTAGAGTAGAAGCAAGAAAAGAATTGACAAAAGTAAAGACGGCTTCACTCTTATCTCTATATATACTATCTAACTAGGAGCTATATGGCGATATTCTATAAGACCTCTAATATGTGTTGACTTTGTAGGACACATGCCTTCGCTTACAAAGCAATTTATTCTATATGTGTGCTACATAATTAGCTTGTTCTTCAAGCTTCCAACATGTATGGCACATGGTTAACTTGTTGATCAAGTTTTTAACCTAAAAGTCAATAATGGACATCTATAAAGTCAAAGCAACGTCTATAAAGCTTCTAAGAAGCCTTCTTAGAAGATATTATAGAATTAATTTATGTTTATTTACTTCTATCTACTTCTACCTATTTATATAAGTAATAAATAACTTACATGTATATGTTTGTGGCATTACTCCCCCTTCTAGGAACAAGTTCCATGAGAAGCAATCATCATATATTGAAAAAATCTATGATGTGACGAATTGTATTCACTACATATTCAGTTCTTTGTTCTCTTTGAAGATGGTTGATAGGACCTCTCAACCATCAATAATATCCCATATTAAGGCAGAAAGACCACCTTGTTATTTGGTCATTGTTGAAGCTTTCATAACTTCCTCCAAATAAAATATTTGGAACACCGTCAGGAATTGTTTTTACTTGTAATAAAATTATCAAACATTGGGAGTCTCTTCTAAGATCACGATATCAAAAGCGTTGTATCTCACTATCTATTTAAGAAAAAATATGTTGTTCTTGAGGATCCTCATCTCAATTGCATTATCTTGAAGGTTATGACAATCACAATGTCTCGTCTGATAAGTCAGCAAACAAAGGTTCTTCAGTCAAATCCACTAGTTACTAGTTCTCCATCTCCTTAGCGTCACAAATACAAAGAAGCTATAAATAAGGATTGAAAGTAAAATGTTATCTTGCCTAGATCTTGTTTCTATTATAGAAAAGGTCTTCAACTTAATTTTGATGGATGTCATTGATAAAAAGCATCTACCTTCTTTGCTGTATTTCTAAGATTTTTTGTTCGCTTCCATGTACATTCATTAATATTGAATCCTTGCCAATGAACAAGATATTTCAACTTATTTTGGCGCTACCTTGAGTCTAAGACTTCTTTCACTTCAAATTCTTCATTATTATCTATTTCTATAGTAGAAGGTAGCACTTATCTTCTTCTTGGTACGTCCACTATCTTATATAGTTCAAAAAAAGACACGTGGAATACTAGATGGATTTTCATTAACTTCAGTAGGTATAAATGATATGCAACTAGATTGATTTATGAAAAAATAAAAAATTGTCTAAGCCTACGATAGTCCAGCTTGTCACAAGGACAAATAGTCTTGATATTGCAATGAAGTAATTATATCTTATCATCCACATGAAATGGGGTTTGTTCGTTTTGATAGATATCCGCATTGATCTTTTATTGTTCTTGAGCTTCTTTAAACTATGTCTTTATTATTGAATGTAGCTTTGACAAATGATTTATCAAATCTTTTGCCATAAGATTATTAACTTTTTAAAAGTCAAAAGTATCAAGTCATGGATGATAACCATAATTAGTAAAGAAAGGTGTTTATTTTGTAGAAGAATGTACTATATTTTTATAAGGAAACTCTGCCAATGGTAAAAGAGTTGTTCAATCATCTTATTGATAGTTGATGGTACATCTTAAATATTGCTCCAAAACTTGATTAATATGCATTTTTTATCCATTAGTTTGAGGATAGAATGCCAAAGATAGTTTTATATTTATTTTTAGAATCTTGAAAAGAATCCACCAAAATCTTGATACAAACTGAGTTCTCTTATTCGATATAATATCCTTGGATAATCCATGATAGTGATAGATGTTGTTAAAAAAGAGTTTAGCTATTTCTTCACGTATGATAGATTTTATACATGGTAAAAAATATGCCATTTTAGTAAAAAAATCTACTATTACAAATATAGAGTCATAAAAACTTGAAATTGGAAGATCCATGATGAAATCTATAGAAACAAAAGACCATGTTTGTTCTGAAATGAGTAATGCTTGAAAAAATCCCTGAGGTCGATGATAGAGAGTTTTTGATTTTGAATAAACGTTGTATGATTGAACAAAGTCTTTCACACTCTCCCACATTTGTGGCTACCAAAAATCTCTAGATATAAGTTTCAAAGTCTTGTTGTATCCAAAATGTCTTGCTGATGGAAAGTCGTGATGTGCTTGAAGAACATGTAATCGTGCTTTTCCTTTTGGAAC